AATGGCCTGATTTCCAAATGTGAATAACTAACTGTAAAAAAATTTAAAGTGCTCTGCAGGCCGTGATGGATTGAATTGTTTCCCCCAAAAGATGCGTTGAGCTCCCAGCCCCCGGGCCTGTGTGACCTTGTTTGGAAATAGGGTCTTTGAAGGTGGTATCAGTTAACATGAGGTCATCCAGTGGGGTGGGTCCTAAGCCCGTCTGAATGGGGTCCTGTAAAGCAGAGACAGAGGGAAGCCGGCTGTGTGACTGTGGAGTTAATGCCAAGGAACGCCTGGGGCTTCCTGAAGCTGAGAGAGATAGAAAGCGTCTTCCCCTAGAGCCTCCGGACAGAACATGGCCTGGCCAACACCCTGAACAGCCTACAGAACCATGAAATGATACATTTCTGCCCCGTTCTTATAAGCCACCCTGTCTGTGGGGCTTTGCCCCAGCAGCGCTAGGACACTAACCAGCAGGCCACACGGTTCATGGCCCTGTGTTGGGTCATCTGGTCGGGTAGCAGTTTGTAGCCTTCGTTCCAGCCCTTCAGTCCATCCAGCCTTTGGCCACTTAAAAGGCTTCCTCACTGTGCCACCTGCCTTTAAGGAAGTGTGTGACTGCATCCTGTCCAGAGTGTCTGTCCCACAGAGTAGAGACCAGGTGGCACCTGGTGGTGCTGGGCGCCAGGCAGCCGGTCGTCTGAGGCCAATTGAAAGAGCGGGGCTTGTGCTGCTTCTTCATGATCCGTGCTGTCTGAGAGCTGTGCACACACGTGGGCATTAGTTATCAAATGCCCCGTAACATGTTAGCCCCACGGCTTAATGGCCTAAAACTACAATAAACCAGTATTGTCTCACAGTTTCTACAGGCCAGGGATTTGGGAGCAACTTGGCTGGGCAGGCCTGGCTCAAGTCCTCTCTTGATGTTACCGTCAGGGTCTAAGCCGGGGCTGTAGTCTTCTGAGGACTGGACTGGGGCTGGGGTGGTCTGCACCAAGGAGGCTCATGCTACGACTGGCAGTCAGTGCTGTCTGTGGGCAGCAGGCCTCAATTCTTGCCGTTGAACCTCTCCATGAGACACTTGAGTCTCCTCACAACATGGCGGCTGGCCTCCCCCAGAATGAGTGATCCAAGAGAGAGCAAAGCGGAAGCCACAGTGTCTTTTTATGACCTAATCTCAGAAGTCACACATTGTCATTTTGCAATAACCTGTTGGGTACACAGTGTAGGAGGCTGACTGTCATGTCTGTGCTCACGGTGGACCCTCAATAAATCCTTCTCAAACATATGGTCCAACATTGAGAGGAGAATGCTGAACCACCTTTTTTAAAACATGAAAGAAAACACCTAGGGGAATAACGTTTATGTCATAGTGATTCATACCCAATATTCATCCCATTTCCTATGGGTTCTCGAGATCAGCCTCAGAAATTAAATATCCTACTTTTCATAGCTCATTCTTTCCTGAGTATATCTGTGTCAGTCAGGGTTCTCCAGAGAAACAGAACCAGTAGTGTGTGTGTGTGTGTGTGTGTGTGTGTATACAATTTTATATATGTGTGTATACATACACATAAACTCACAATTTCATTCATTCATTCATTCATTCATTTAATGGAATTGGCTCACACAGTTGTCGGGGCTGGAGGGTCTTCAATCCATAGAGCAGGGCAGCTGACTGGAAACTCAGGCTTCATTTCCACATTACAGTCTTGAGGCACAATTCCTTATTTGCCCGGAAACCTCCATTTTTGCTATTAAGGACTTCACCTGATTGGATGAGGCCCACCCATATTATCGAGGGTAGTCTCCTTTACTTAAAGTCAGCTGACTGTAAATGTTAATCACATCTACAAACTAACTTCATAGCAACATCTAGATTAGTATTTAACCAAACAACTGGGCGCCATAGCCTAGCCAAGTTGAAATTAACCATCACATTATCTAAAACCTTTTTTTTTTTTTTAAATTAATTTTAAAATTCTGCTACCTTTTAGAATGATAGAGTCAGGCTTTCCATCTGCTTTTTGAGGGAATTCTTCCAACAATTGATTATCTCTGTCTGCTTCTTGGGATAGCCGTTGTTCTCATTCACTCAGTTGCCTGAGATGCCGTTTCTCTACTAAACGTAATGATTTTTTAAAGGTTTTAAGGAAGTCCCTAAGAAGTAGTGTCCTGAACAAAGAGTAGAGCCTCATTTGGTATATTAATAGCACTTGTGAAGACAAATAGCCACCAGAACTTCCGTAGGGCCCCCTGAATTGGTGGGAGAGGGGTGCAGGTGGTCAGTTAATCAGAGTGGCAGCTAAGGAGGAGTGGGGTTACCCCAGTTCCTGCCACGGCATCCATTTCTTGTACCCCACCCCAACACCCCCCAACTCAAACAGCAGATCTGAGTGGATACTGCTGGTGGTTATACACACACACACATCACATACACTACACACACACCACACATAATACACCACACGTGCACACAGACAGCACACACATCATTCATATCCCATAAACCATCGCTACCACACATATACACATATACCACATACACACATATACCATACACCCACACACACACACACACACATTCACATCACATACACTACACACACCATACATAATATATCACATGCACACACAGCACACACATCATTCATATCACATACACCATCGCTACCACAAATATACACATATACCACATACACTACACACCCACCACATATACCACACACATTCACATCACATACACCATCACTACCACACATGCACACACACATCACATACACTACACACATGCCACACATATGCCGTGCACACACACCACACACATTCATATCACATATGCCATCACCACCACACACACATATACACCATACACATTCACACCATACACTACACACACACCACATATACCACACACATTCACATCACATACGCCACATACAATACACACACACCACATATAACACAAACACATATACACCATACACATTCACACCCCACACACACACACACAAACACACACACACACACACACACAAACACACACACACACACACACACATACCCCCCTCAGGCTACACCTTGCCTTTGCCTCCTTTCTGATCACCCCTAATGCTCATTTCCACCAGACTCCCCTGAATAGAGATGTTGAGGGGCAGGAAGAGCCCCCATTGGATTCCCCCAGGAAAGCCTGCTGAGAGCTGGGGCTTATTAGTTCGGTCAACAGCCCCCAGGCTGGGAGTTGAAGGTCAGCCCGCCTCCTCCGTGCGTGATGGCCTGAGCCTGGCTGGAAACATTTACCGATGCACCTGGGGGGCGGCGGCCACCCACTCTCAGCACAGAGCGAGGTCCCAGAGCCCGGCCACTGAGCCCTGTTGGTAAATGGAAATGGAATGTATAATTCACGAGGCGCGATGGCCGCCGGGCAGTGGTAATTACAGACCTGAGAGAGGCTGCGGCTGCCGCAGGGAGTGACCTTTCAAGGTGAGAGGCTGTGTGATCCAGGGCCTGCATTGTTCTTGTCTTGACCTTTCTCTGAACTTGCCCTCAGAAGCTCAGAGGAAGTACAGTCCTGCCTTTCCCTATAGTGTTTCTGAGTAATACCTTCGGGTGCCGGCTTTTCGTGTTTTTGTTCTTCCTTTTTTGGTTTTGCGTTTCCCCCTGTGCTTTGCGGCTTCCCATAGAAACATCTCATCGCTGATTATTTCATCCCAGATTAATGGGCAGTGCAGAGGCCACACGAATGTTTGTCCCTGTTGAACACAATACGGGGAAAGAAAAAAGCCTGCAGTGCCCCTGGGTGGCGCAAACAGTTTGCAGTCGACTAGTAACCTAAAGGTTGGAGGTTCATGTGGTGGCATCACGGAAGAAAGGGCTGGTGATCTGCTTCCGTTTAGATTACAGTTCTGCTCTGTCACGGGAAGTGGCCGTCAGTCTGAGTCGACTTGAGGGCAGTGGGTTTGGATTTTGGGGGGTTGGTCCTTCCCCTCCCTTCAGCTCTGCGCTCTCCCAGCCAGGCAGGACGGGCCTGAGAACAGTGACCAGCACGATGTCAGTGGGGTGAGGAGAAGTGGCAGGAAGCGGTTCTCAGTGGGAAGGGTTGGGGACAGATGCTGGAATCTAAGCTCTGGCCTGCAAAATAGGGTCATGTTAGCCAGCCATTAAGGAGCAGGTATATAATTACACTTGTTCCTTAACGCCTGGCTGACATGCCCCTGTTCTGATTGAATTGTGGTGTTGGTGAAGAATGAATATACCATGGCCTGCCAGAAGAACAAACAAATCTGTCTTGGAAGAAGTACAGCCAGAATGCTTCTTCGAAGCAAGGATGGTGAGACTTCGTCTCACATACTTTGGACATGTCGTCAGGAGGGACCAGTCCCTGGAGAAGGGCATCATGCTTGGTAAAGTAGATGGTCAGCGAAAAAGGGGAAGACCCTCAACGAGATGAATTGACACAGTGGCTTCAACAGTGGGCTGAGACACAGCCACAGTCACGAAGATGGCGCAGGACAGCGTTTTGTTCTGCTCTGCGTAAGGTCTGTGAGTTGGAGCTGACTTGACGGCACCTAACGACAGGAAGGTGCGAGCAGGTGTGGTGTTCACGGTCAGGGCCTTGCTGCCACCCCAGAGAAAGGAATAACGAGGTGGAGGGTTGTGGTCTAGTTTTCATCTCACCGCACAGGGGACCCCCGGATCCACTTCCTGGGCTGAACTGCGCCCCCCCACAGTTGCTGGTAGCTTTGGGCTCTGATCATCTCACGCCTGCCTGCCTTGGTGAAGTCAGGGACACCCAGAAGGGGGAAGAAGGAAGGCGCTAACAAGTGAGGCCGAACTGCGTCAGCTCACCTCAGAATTGAATCCAAGTTGAATCTTTGGGGTGCTTGAGGTTGCTGTGATTTTCAAAAATAAACTCTTTTTGAGGCCGAGTGAAAAGGAACGGGACAGCCTGTGAGAGCCTTTCAGATCCCGGGACCGAGTTTGGTTAGCCCGCTGAGTGGGTTGGTGCCGATTCACACCCGCCTGTGCAGAGCGGCCACCAGCCTGCTCTTGTTCTTCCAGGAACTTCTGATCCCTCAGGGAAGCCCGGGCAAGCTCAGACAGACACACCGGGGCCGACAGGTGGCTGACATGCCACCGCCAAGCCTGACGAGCGAGCACCCCTCAGTATCACCAGCCATCCCACAAAACTTGTGTTCTCTGCCTCTTCACACCAGTGTGCACTGCTGTTCTTCCAAACGTCCGCTTGCTTGTGATTTTTAGTTGGATTTTTTTTAAGTGCTAGCTCCCTTCTCCTCTCTCTCCCGTTATTTCTTTCTTCACCTCCAGACAGCTACACAGTTTCCCTTTGTCATCAACTACTCCTCAGCTGATACATTTTTTTAATGATACAGACTGCCTTTGTCAAGCTTCTCCCATTTAACCATTGAAATCCCCATTATCTAAGAACTAAGAGGAGCTTGCTTTCTTCCTACCCCTTCTCTTTCCTCAAAACTGCATGGATGGATGGATGGATGGAGAGAGGGTGGGAGGGAAGGAAGGAAGGGAAGCAAAAAAACCTGTTGCCGTTGAATTGATTCTGACTCGTGGCAGCCCCATGTGTTACAGAGTGGAACTACTTTGTGGGATTTTCTTGGCCATAATCTTGTAGGGAAGCAGATTGCCAGGCCTTTCTTCTGCAGAGCCAGTGGGTGGGTTCAAATCTCCAACCTCTAGGTTAGTCCAGTGCAAACTGTTTGTGCCACCCAGGGACAATAGATAGGTAGGTAGATGGATAAATAGATGATAAAAGCTAGATAGGTAGGTGAGGGGTGAATCGGTAGATGGATGGATGGATGGATGATGATAGAAGATGGATGATAGGTAGATAAGGTAGGTAGGTAGATTAGATAGATAGATAATAGATAAAAAGAAAGAAGTCCCAGTTTTTACTTCTTCCTCATGTACTCCACCATTCATGTCAGCTCCGTTAACATCTGTGCATTGAGCATTGACTGTGTGCTTGGCATTGTGCTCGGCGGCAGGGAATAAAAGCTGGCGGAACCACCTCCAGTTCATGATGGTGATGACAGACACCTGTGAGGTGTATGGCCGTGAGGAGTGCATGGTCTGTGCCCTCAGGGTGCCCCCAGTTGGCTGAGAAGCTGATGTGTAGATTACTCTCATTAAACCAGTAAGTCTCAGCACAGGGCGTGAGGAGGAGCTGAAGTGTTGCTGAGGTGCTAGACAGGAAGAGAGGAAGCTTCCAGGGAGGGGAATTTGAGCTAAAAGCCTGAAAACTTTGCGCCATCGCCAGGAGAAGTGCTGCCCACAGGGACAGTGATGGAGGCCTGGAAGAGACAGCCTCGCTGCCCCTCACTCTGTGTGCTGTCTGATCCTCCAGGAGCCCCTCTCTCCCGCTCTCCCTTCACACTGCCTCTTGAATCCAGCTGGTGTGTGGCCGGCCTGGGCTCCGGGCGGCTCTCTTGTCCAGAGCAGTGTTCAGTACTCGGGAGAACAGAGTGGACACTAAGGTCTCTTGACTGAACGTGCTCCGTTCCAGAGGCATCCACGGAGTCCCAGCGCCTGCATTACAAGGAGGCCCCATTGTCAGGAAGGTGGGGTGGTGGCGTCCTCGTCTGGGGCCTGCGTACCCCCTCCACAGACAGAACTTCACAAGGTCCCCAGAGTGTGGCGGGTTCTCCCGGACCGTCAGAGCTGTCCCTGTGGCCCCATCCCCTGTCCCCTGGGAGAGGTCGCTCACGTGGGTTCAGAGGGTGTCCTGGTCATCAGCTGCACGTCACCCCCCGCCCCCACCACCCACCACCAGTGTGGTCGTAAAGAGCTGGCTTAGATTTTCCTGGGGGACCCGAAGAAAACATGAGAAAGCAAACCTGAAGATGCTTCCCAGCTCCTTTGGGAAAAGGTGAGTGTAGGAAGGTCCCTCAGTAGATTGCCCTTGGCTGGGGACTTGGAGTTGATGCCCTCTGGGCTTGGCAGAACTCTCCTTTTCCTGATTTCTACTCGGAGCACCTGGTCCCTGCTGCGGGCAGGTTCTCAGGGGCGTGCCCCTGCTGGGGACGTGGTGAGTGTGCCAAGGGTGTCCTCTCTGCTCCGTCCCTGGCCAGGCCAGGTGCACCTGCCTTGCCGAGTCAGAGCCTGCTCCCTGGGCCAGGTGCCTGTGACTTGACTTGAGTACCTGCCAAGGTGGCACATTAGGGGGTTCCTGCCCTTCTTTTGGGGGCCCTCTGATGGTACCTGGCCCTGGGCTGCAGTGGGAACGCCCCGCACCCCAACGTGTATTTGGAGTCCCTGGTTAACACACTCGGCTGCTGACCAAAAGGTTGGAGGTTCAAGTCCACTCAGAGGCACCTGGGAAGAAAGGTCTAGCAATCTCCTTCCAAAAAATCAGCCACTGACACCCTTTAAAGTGCACTTCCACTCTGACACACATGGGGGCGCCATTGAGTTGGGGTCGTTACCACTTGCCTTGAGTTTGGTGTTGGAACTCACTGAACTCCTCGTGTCTCAGTTTCTGGCGTCTGCCCTTTGGATTGGAGTATCTCCAGGTGGGGGCACTGCACGCCTCTCCCCTTCAGAGGAGGAGCAGGTTTGTCTTCCGTCCCTGCCTCTCGTCCTAGACTGTGGGCCCACAAGCTGGGTGACCGGAGTGGGTTGTGAGGGAAGGAAGGCACCCAGGACGAGGCTTGTCGACATCATCATCACACTCACTCTCCTCAGAGTTGGGAACCCGGGGGCCTCCAGCGCCGCAGAGGGAACCCGGGAGGAAAGCACCGAGACTCTACAGCCTGCGTGGTTCATTCGGTCACCCACAAACGTGAGCCCTTGCCCTGAGCTGTCAAAGCTGAACGTTAAACCAGCAGAGGTTTTACACTGAAATCAGTAACGTTGCTCGTCTCTAAGTGCTATCACCTTCCCAGCTCCCATTTATCTGGGGAGAGGACTTGTACCTTGAGTTCATTGGCCATGTGAAGGGGCCAGCCTTGTCCCCAGGGGCATCTCACCCCTGCTCCGCAGGTGGGTAGCACGTCACCACGTGGGATAAAACAAAGATGCGTGCCTGGCCGTGTTGTTGGGTGCTGGCCAGTCAATTCCGACTCATGGCGCAATTCCAAGTCCCCTCCCAGCGCAGAGAAGAGAGGGGCGGCCGGGAACGCTGAAGGGGACGGCAGGGTCTGGCCTTCCAGGATCAGCAGGATTCGCGGGAAGCTTTAGCTGCACCGTTCCAGCCCCCAGCCAGTGGACCAAGGACAAAGACAGAAGGATTGGAAAGGGACGGAGGAGGCTCTTGTCCCCAGCCCTCGGCCAGCTGTGTTACTGCCCCCTCCAACCAGCCTGGGACTGGAGCCCCTCAGGCGGAGCTGAGCTCCTGCGGCCCTGTCCTGGAGGCCAGCTCTCGCCAGCAACAGCATGCCCCACGCCCTGGGTGCCGATGGCACGTCCCCACAGTGTGCTTGCTCGGGGCTTCTGTGGCGCTGACACGTCCTCTTTCCTCACCTGGTCGGTGGCCACATAGGCCTTTGTTTTCTGAGAAGCCACCGGGCTCTACACTTCTGCTTTGTGCACTTCTGTCTGTGTGTGTTATCTTCCGCCAATGAAAAATAAAGATTAAAGGAAAAAAAAACTTAAAAAAGGAACTTGGAGCTGGTGCATGTGAAAAGGGCCGTAACATGCAGAGACGCGAAGACGCTCGCTGTACATACAGCATCCCGGCCGCCCGGCACGACGCCTGACCTGGATGAGGGTTGAGATTCTCGTCCTGTAGGGTGTGGGGAGGCAGGACCAGGCTTCCTCCAGCTGTCCTGGGCTTCACAGAAGGGCCTCAGAGATTGGGGAATACAGGGTCACACAGGCCGGAGGTGGGGTCATGGCAGGCACCGCCCATGTCAAGAGGGTCAGGGGATAGGACAGTATGAGCACCTTTGAGATGACCTGACGCGGGGTCCACGCTGGTTCTTTTTAGAACATTTCTCAGATTTATAATCCATGGTTTTCTTCCCTTTCTTTCTCTTTTCTTTCCTCCCCTCCTCCTCTTCCTTCTCTCTCTCTCAACTTCATTCTCTGTCTCCCTCCCTCTCTGTCTTTCTGAATCTCTCTCTGGATATCTCTCTTTCTCTCTCCCTCCCTTCCTCTCTCTCTCCATCTTCCACCAGCCGGGTCAGCATCATTTAGGTGGATCCACCTGGCTGGCTGTGCTTTCTTCACTCTGTTTTACGCAACCGTACACAAGAATGAGACAAGGAATTTAGAGGCTATTCTCAGAATATGCTTCTGAGCATCTGAGAATGGTTTCCGATTTAGACCAACATCATTAGGAGTCTCTGGAGATGGTATCCCATTAAAATTCCCAGATCCACCGTTTTCTTTGTGGATGTAAGCAAAGAAGTTTGAATTGCTGCTGGCACTTAGCAGAGTTGGAGCGGGGCTGGGGGCCATGGATCAGCCTGGGTGGATTAGGTAGGTGGGTAGGTGGATGGACAGGTGGGTAGGTGAGTAGATGGATGGATGATAGGTAGATAGACAGATAGGTAGATGATGGATGGATGATGGTTAGATAGATAGACCAGACAGACATATTGCCGGTGCACACCAGGAAGGTCTGATACAGAGCCCAGACGGTCACTGCCGGTAGGGATGAGAGTGGCCGCTCTGACTCTGTCCTGTGATGTGCAGCGTTGGACGGCACACTGGAAATGGCCAGTACAAACAAGGCACCAGCTTCCTGGGGGAGTTGTGGCGTGAGAGTGATGTCAAAATCTGGAGCAGACAGTGACTGTCCGCCTCCATGTGGGTCCGACGACTCGTTCTAGAGTCTTTCAGCATTTCTGTGGGCAGGGCCCGCAGACACTGAGTTAGGGCCGACTCACCGGTGAGGGGCCTGAGTGGTCCACGTTGGCACACGGCGTTATGGCGTCAGCTGAGGTAGAGCGTCTGGAACACACGTGCAGTGATTTGCCTGCCTGTGTCACACTGAGCTGCCCCCAGCCGAAGGAGCGCGGGCTCCCTCTCCTCGCTGCTCTTCTCCAGCCAGAGCTTCGCGCTTTGCAGCAGCCCTCCACCCCAGTGCTTTCTCTGGCTTATCGAGAGGCAAAAATACCCTGCTGCTAGGTGTGTGCAGAGATCTTGTTAGCTGCCATCAAGTCGGCCCCCGACTCATGGTGACCCCATGCACAGCAGAACAAAATGCCGCCCAGTCCTGCACCATCCGCATGATCATTTGTGGATCAGACTGTTGTGATTCATAGAGTCTTTATTGGCTGATTTTCAGAAGTAGATCACCAGGCCTTTCTTCCTAGTCCATCTTAATCTGTGTGCTCCACTGAAACCTGTTCAGCATCGTAGCAACACGCGAGCGTCCCCTGACAGACGGCTGGTGGCTGCACATGGAGGTGTGTGAGCTGGGATGGGACCCGGCTTTTCCACAAAGATCTTCAGGCCCACGACTTCGGGTTGGGCCATTCCAGGACAGTCTGCTCACCGCTCGGGCCCCGTGCAGGCCCACGGCGAGTGACTCTGGCTAACCTCCACCCCGTTTGCCCTGGAGCACCACCTCTGGGTGCCTTCCTGCTATCTCCTGTTCGCTGAGAAAGCTGCGCCTTGTTCAGAGGTCAGTCACAGGCCAAGGGGGTTGGCTAGTCCTCTGTCATATTTGAATCTCCCCTGGGGTCCCCAGACATGGTGTGAATTCATCTCCTAGAGCAGCTGCTCCTTGCCCCCCGGCAGGCTTGCCCAGGTCAGAGGGTCCCTTTTCTCTCAGCCCTCACCCTCCTCCCAGCTTCTCCACAGACCCCCAGGCTTTGGCTCCAACCTCTCTGAAGGGGCCTCCTCCCTGCCCATCCGCTTCCTGCTGTGGTCCCCGGTCCTGCAAGGTATTGAGGTGACCCCCCACCCCCTACTCCAGCCACCAGCTTCCTGCAGCATCCCAGAGAGCACATCAGCATTTCCAAGTCTCCTCGTTTTTGCAGTGGAAACACAAGATTTAACAACCCATCTGAAATGCAGTTTTACATTTTGATTGCTTCTGCCCAACCATGCTGCGGTGAATTTCAATCTATAGATATTTGTGGGAAGGGCCTCTTTCCCTGTCTTCCAATCCTAGTACACCTTACAATCTCAGTGATTATAAAATACCACGGTCTCACAGAGTGTCTTGCTTCCAAGGAGTCCAAGCTGCTTTACAGTTCTGCCAACCATAATTTATCTTCATAAGCTGCCGTAGAGACAAGGAAAAAAGAGATTCATAATCACATTTTATAGACGGTGAAATAAAAACTCAGAGAAATGGAGTCACGTTTTTCCAGAAGCCACAGCTCTTCCCGTCTCCGATGCAGGTTGCAGATTTAGTGCCCAGCCGGGGAGCAGCTGCTGAGCCTCGCCCTTGTTTTATCTGAGTGTATGGACGAGTGGGCCGCCCACGCTGGTCTCAGTTGTCAGGGAGGTCGGTGTGAGGAAGGCCCGCCCATGACACCTGGTCCCAGGCTGTTCGGCTGCACACATGCTCCAAGCTGGCGGCTCTGCCCGCCGGGACCTGTAGCCAGAGTGCTTCCTCAGACCCACTCACTGCCCCCCTGGACCTGCTCCCCGGCCAGGCCGCGTGCTGGACACAAGTGTGGGAGGCATCACCTGGCCTCCGCTGGAGGACTGTTAGGGACTCCAAGCAGCCAGGGACGGGCTTGTCACTCTTCACCGGTGATGCAGATGGTTCGGGAAGCACTGTGCTTACCCCAGGGCTCCTGGTCTGGGTGCTGTAAACATTCACGGAGTATCATGGAGCAGGAGGCCCCAGGCCTGTCCCTCAGCAGGTGTGTGGCAGATACTCGGAGCGGCTGGGCTCAGCTAGTATCTATTGGACAAGCCTGGTGAAAGGTTTCATTTGTGTTTACGTCTTCGTCACTGAGTGTAGCCAGCACAGAAAACGTGGTCAGCCTCTGACAGCGTGAGGAAGGGAAGGGCAGGCGAGACAAGAAGTAGGATCCATGTACCATGTGTGCAGAGGGGTGGTGAGGGCCTTGGGAGGGCCGGGAAAGGGTTGAAACAGAAGGCAGGAGACCAGCAGGCATTGTAGTCGAGGCCTGGATGGAAGAAGGATCGGATGGTGAGTAGCGATGGGAGCAAGTGGGGTAACGGCTTCAAGATGGAGGGAAGGACAGACTCCAAAGGCTGTGAGGACCGTGGGCTGAAAAGGAGAGATTTGCACCCAGTCTCCAGGGCCTTTTCACCCTGAAGTCCTGACCCTGCATGCCTTGTGCCACCTCCGGCCCCTGCCCCACCTCCTGGACTCCTTTGCCATGACTCTGTGAGCCCCCACACGTGGCTGTCCTCCCACCCTTGGCCCTGCACAGGTGCCCTGCACAGTTAAGCGGGGTGGCCACCTCTGGGCCTCCACCACCGAGGTTCCTGCCCAGGGAGCCTGCTGTCCGTGGGCCCCGCCTGCCTCCTGACACCCAGACCTCAGTTCCTTTGAAGACTTTCCCATCTACTTCCCTTTGTCTGCGCTCTGCCCCATTCATCTGAATCACATGTGGTAGCACTTTGTTGTACTGATAGCTTTATTCAGTCACCAGGTATTTATGGATTGACTGAGCTCACGACTCCTAAACACCAGGCACCGTGGCTGGGAGAGATGGTGCCTGCTTACTGGGAGTGGGCTGCACAGCGGCAGGGGTGGCTGGGATGTGCTGGTGTCCTGAAGCTGGTGGCGGCCAGGACAGCTGAGTGAGATGGGAGGGGGCGGTGAAGCCATTTGAGAGCCAAGGAGCGCCCCAGGCAGAGGCAACAGCCCAATGTGTAAAGACCCTCGGTCTGGAAAGAACTTAGGGTGCGCTAGAAATTGGAAGGAAACCTCCGGGACTGGGGCTTACTGAGCTCAAGGAGGGGATTGAACTGATGCTGGAGAGGTAGGCAGCCTGAGGTGGCCATTCCAGGGCCCGTGGAGAGATTTAGAGTTCATGCAGGGAGTGGTGAAATCTATTCTCTTGGCTGCTGTGTACAAAGGCGGTTGGAGGAAGATGATTAAGTGAGAAGGTGGGATAGGAGTGCCAGAGAGAGAGGGTGGCCAGGACCAGAGCCAAGGCCATGAAGCGGGAGCCAGGGGCTGATTTGAGTGGTGCTTTAGAGCTGGAGGGATGGATTGGATGGTGGGTGGAGGGAGGGAGGGATTGGATGGAGGATGGCTGGATTGGATGATAGATGGAGGGAAGGTTGGAGTGGATGATGGATGAAGGGAAGATGGATTGGATGAATGATGGGTGGAGGGGGTAATGGATGGATTGGATGGTGACGATGAAGGGAGACAGTGAGGAACTAAAGATCATGCCCAGATCTCTGACCGGAGCAGCTGGGGTGGTGGCGCCATTGGGGGAAAAGAGGAGAGGGGTGTAGTTAGAGGAGAGGGGACAGAGAAGTCCCTGCTACCCACGCCACGTCCGAGATGACTGTGAGATGTCCAAGTGGAGATGTCAGGCCGTCGGAAGGTGAAGCTGGAGCCGGGAGCAGAGGGCCGAGGTGGAGAGAGAAGTGTGAACTGAGGCCTGGAGCTTAAACTAGGGGAGTAGACAAGATGACCTGGGGCGGTGCCAGGGGTTGGATGGAAGAGGACACAGCAGCAAACGAAACAGACAAGCCATAGCCACAGGACAGGACAGATACCAGGAGAGTGGGGAGGCGTGAGAACCAAGCACCCGCATTCCAGCGCAGGGGGGTGGTCACAGGTGAGAGGAATGCTGCTCTCGGGTCCCCAAGCTGAGGAGTGGACGATGGCGGCGTGGGGTCCGTGCTGACCAGGGGCCAGGTTGGGGGATAGCATGAGGGAAGCAGTCTGAAGTGCAGGAGAAGGTCACACTCCAGAGGGGGGTGCTTTAAGGGCTTTGAAGGGAGCAGGGAAGCTGGGCAGCAGCCACAGGGAGAGGAGGGATCAAGTTTGGTTTTGGTTTTTGCATTTGGGGTTTGCTTGTTCTTTGCTCTGTTTTGCTTGTTAAAATGGGAGACATTAGAGCCAGCTTGTAGGCTTACGTTTACTGTATTTTTCCTGTCTGGGTGTCTATATGATTTAACAAAAACAAAAACAAAACAGTTGCTGTTGAGTTGGTTCTGACTCATGGCACCCCCATGTGTGTCAGTTCTCAATGGCTGATTTTTTTTTGAAAGTAGATTACCAGGCCTTTCTTCTGAGGCACCTCTGAGTGGACTGCAACCTCCAAACTTCCAGTGAGCAGCCAAGCCACTCACTCCCCCAACCTGAGCGGCATCTCCCTTTCCCCAAGCCCGGAGACCCAGCCTTGGACTTGAGGAACGTTCTCGGTGGTACTCTAGAAACCCACGGTGACCAAGTGCCGAAGCCCCAGCCCTAAGGAAGTGAATCAACTCCTTTTCACAAAAGGCTTTGTCACAAGATGCTTTGTTTATTGTTTGTCTTATTTTTAATATCACTGCACAGAGAAAAAGGATGGGCAATGAGGGCAAATTTTAAAAGGGAAAGGGGGCCTTTTTAAGTGGAGACAAATTCAGCTTGGAGATCTGGGCCACATGGAGGCGTTTTGGTCACGTCCCTCCCCACTCAGGTGCTACATGGCTGAAGGATCACCTAGATCAAGAGTCTTCCCAGTTCGCCTCCGCCTCCTCCAGGCTGCTGGAGGCTAGGACAGTGGCCTCTTCAGCATTGCTTAGTCATGTGGGGTGTTTCCAGAAAGAAGCAAACGTTGAGCTCATGCATCTCGTGACCAGTGGAGTGTCTTGAGGCACAGTTTTTTAAAAGCATACGCAGTGCTCGTGATGTCAAACGCTGACGAAGTTAGACCTCAGCGAGCCCGCTTTTCTGCAGATGTACCTCTCCCCAGTCACGACAGATTCTTAGAAAAGAAGCCATTCTCTGCGGTCTCTGGTTTTGATCACCGAGCACGAGTGCAGTTTTCTCTCTGACTTCAGGTGACTCCTGTCAGACTCTCCAGCATGGAGCCTTGCCTCTCGTGCGAAGGGCCGTCGGTCCTGGGGTCAGGGACGGGCTGTTCAGGCTGTTGATTGTGGAATTCTAGTTGATACCCAGACATGCGTTTGTGAACACAGTTCTGTAGTTGCGATGTTATACATCTTTTCAGGAGATTAACTTTTTAGAAACTAATGAGAAAAACTGTAGCGTTTCCTTGGGAAGATATCATGCAAATTCCTGAGAAAGGGATCAGTTGCCCTGGAGTCCCACATGTGTCAGAATAGAACTGTGCTCCATAGAGTTTTCTTTAGCTGATTTTTCAGAAGCAGATCGCCAAGCCTTTCTTCTGAGGTGCCTCTGAGTGGACTTGAACCTCCAACCTTCCAGTTAGTAGCTGAGCACATTAGCCGTTTGCACCACCCAGGGGCGCCTGGGTCCAGGAGGGGCCACTTAACTGGGCTTTATTCTAAAGCCACAGACCTCCCCTTGTCTCAGCACTCCATCCGGCCAGGTTCTCTGCTTGAAGGAAGAATTGAGCCAAAGAACAGCCAGGTCCTTGCAACGTGGTGCTTCTTGTAGAGAAGGCCCTACAGGGTTTGCTGTCGAGTTCATGCAGAAAGAGCTGCCTGCGCTCTCAAACCCCTGAAGCTCTCTCTCCTGCTCTCTTTCAGGGCCCCCGAGATCATCCTCGGTTTACCATTCTGCGAGGCGATCGACATGTGGTCCCTGGGATGCGTCATTGCGGAGCTGTTCCTGGGCTGGCCGCTGTATCCAGGCGCTTCAGAGTACGACCAGGTGGGTGCCTCGAGCGTGGGGACAGTCAGCAAGACTGCGTTCTTCCTCTGAGAAATGTCCGCCCTCCGCGCTTCATCTGTCACAGGGCCCAGGGACGGCGCTGTGAGTGCCGCGTCGTCTCCAAGCCTTGCTGCCCCTAATCTGACTGTCCTCTTGCTACTCCTCTTTCTGTTTCCTTTTTCCTTTTATTCCTTTCGCTGCCCGTAAAATTGTCCTTTTCATTTTTCTCAGAGCCACCAGTGTGCCATACGGCAGGGGCAGGCAACGCCCTGACCTCCTTCTCTCTCCCCGCAGATCCGATATATTTCACAAACACAGGGTTTGCCGGCTGAATATTTATTAAGTGCAGGGACAAAGACAACTCGGTTTTTCAACCGTGACACCGACTCACCGTACCCTTTGTGGAGGCTGAAGGTAGGGGTGCGTCCCTCTGTTCCTGGCTTCCCGAGCATGGGGTGGGTGACAGTGTAGTTAGTGGGGCACTTTTGACACCACAGGTCTGACCCTCAGACCCACCCTGACTTGGCTCATATGTGAGGTGGATGGGCTGGGGGGCTCAGAAGTCCCCCTTCCTTGCCTGGTTGGGCGTAAGGTGCTGGAGTCCGAAACTATTGTTGCCAAGCTGGCAGGACCCAGTCCAGTGAGCCCTGGGAGCACATGGCTGTGTTCTGGGGGCAGAGGTAGAGCTTGCCCTGCCCTCACAGGGCTCCTGATCCCGAGGGGCACCCCAGCCACCAGCTCCTGCCCACTGTGATAGCCACCATCCTGTTCACGGAAGGAAAGAGGAACCAAGAGGAGAGCATCACCGCTGCCTATGGCAGAGGGCCAGGGGGTGTGGGAGCTGGCCTGGAGGATGAGGAGGGTTTGGCAAATAGAGAAATGCGGGGGAGGCCCTCAGGCAGAACCGGCAGCCTGAGCACCGCCAGCACTGTCAACCCCGGGCAGGTGTCCCACCGCTGCACGCCAAGCGCTCCAGTGGTTTTCCTTTAACTGAAACGTGGTGTGCTGTCACTTTGGTCTGTGCCTGGCGGTGGAAATGAACGTCTTTTGCTGGGATGGAGAAAATAATGGAAGTCTTAAGCTTAGTGTATGCTCACTAGGTGTTTCTTTTTCTCCAAGAGGTGCCTGTTTTTTAATGGAAAGCACAGCCAGATGCTAATGTGGTTTAAAGATACTGTGTGACCAGTAGTCGCAGATTTAGGAAAGAACCTGGGAGCTAAGCGGGCACTCAGCTGTCAGTGGGGGGCTGGCACTGGGCGTCTGTGCGGGTGCCGTGCAAGCTCAGGTCCAGTGAAGGCCCGGAAGGGAGGCAGGGTTCACGCCCGTGTGAGGGGCCTCAGACCGGCTGTTGCAGGATCTCAGCCCAGGTCCGAGCAGCTCCAGGTGTACCGTCCTCAAGTGAGATTTGAGGATTCATCACCTCTGATCCAGATGAGTCCAGACATCCACAGGAGTTGGGACAGAGCTTCCAGACCGAGGCCGAAGGGGGAGTGTGTGTCTGTGTCCCAGCTCTGCCGCTTCCTGGCCATGTGACCTTGGCGCAGTCTTAAGCTTTCTGTTTCTGCTTCCCCATCTGCAAAACGGGCATAGTGATCATCCCCCGCCACCGGTCTGTCCGCCTGTCATATTCTGGCGGCTTTTGTGTCGCTGTGATACTGGAAGCTATGTCTCTGGTATTTCAAATACCAACAGGGTCACCCATGGTGGAGAGGTTTCAGCAGAGCTTCCAGACTAAGACAGACTAGGATGAAAGGCCTGGCAATCTGCTTCCCAAAATTAACCAGTGAAAACCCTATGGATCATGACAGAGTATTGTCCCATATAGTGCCCGCAACAAAGGACTCAAGCATACCCATGGTTGTGAAGATGGCATGGGATTGAGCAGCATTTCGTTCTGTTTATATGGGGTCGCCATGAGTCAGAGCCGACTTGACAGCGACTAACAATAACAATCGTTTGTACCTGCGGCTGTGGTTTAGAGTATTAGACGGATTAGTGCTTTAGTTGCTGGCACACTAAGGTTTTGTTAAATAGCATTAAATTAAAATGAAAAGTGTGAAAAGCGGCTTCTGCTTCTCCACATACCTGATCCCTTACACTTAGGGAAGGCTGTAGGGTCGTTAGGGATGCAGTGTGTCTCACTCACCTGAGAATCCTCAGTACCTGACTCAGGGCAGGTTCCCAGCAGGTGTTTGCGGGAAAGAAGAAGGGGGTGCATTAGTGTGGATGAGTGGAGAAGTAATGAGCGTGCAGGCCGCCAAGAAGCCAAGAGTCCTTCTCTGAATGGTGGGAAAGGCCCTCTGCTGGAAACTCTAGGGTTTGCATCTCGGTGATCAGGAGATGTCCGCATTACCCATCAGCCTCTGCCTCTCTTCACCAGGCGCCAGACGATCATGAAGCAGAGACGGGGATTAAGTCAAAAGAAGCAAGGAAGTACATTTTCAACTGTCTGGATGATATGGCCCAGGTGAGCTCAGTGGGTAAACGCAAGTAAAGCCGGTTAAACAGCAAGCACAGCAAGCCCTCTGCAGGCGTAGTTCAGGACGGCGGGCAGAAATCCTCATACTCAGCCGTGGTGCTTGACCTTGGCCCTGAATGCTGATATGCCAGCCTCAGTAAGGCTCCCATTGGGTTTGTGAAGCATTTTTAAAACCGTTCACCAGCTCCTTAAAAATAGCTTTGGTTAGGGGACATTCAGTTTACGTTAACTGGTAAAACAGCTCCGGAAGGGATAGTGAGGGTGGTGGCATGATGTGAAGAATGTAATCGATCTCACTGAATTTTACATGTAGAAATAGTTGAATTGGCAAATGTTTCAGTGTGTATATTTCTCACTGATGTTTTCATGAGAAGAATTCAAGCCCATTAGTACATTCGAGTTTAACGAGTTTCTCGTGACCCAGTCTCTCTCAGCTCACTGGCAGGGAACACAGCCTCTCACCTTTGTGCCCCAGAGAACATTCTAGAACTCTAGCTTATTTTCGTGCAAAAACTAGGCTACAACCAGGGCAACCCGAAGTGGGTTTTTCTTTAAAGCCACAGACGAATAAACACTTACTGCCCCCCTTACTGTGGATGCGTATAACCAAAATCATGATCCTGAGCAAAGCAGACTCATCAGTTGATCAGAAGCTTAGATTGTCTGCAAAACTGAAGTTGGCTTTCAGAGCATGTCTTGGAAAACAGAGAAAGCACACAAAACCGGCCTTTGGAAGGCTCTCCCAGAGTAGACCTGCCCTCAAAGAAAGCTCCTGCCTGCCTTGAGTGTGTAGGCGGCTCGGTGAACGCGGGACTAAAATGGAGGGGATAACACAAGAGACAGAGAAGGGTATCAAGGCCCTCACGTTTCCCTCAGAGGTTAAATAAATAGACCTTTTTGTATTTTATTATCCTCTGCTTGGCTGTGAGTATTTTTAATGAGGTGTGACCTGTTTGCACCCTGTCGTCTCTGTGGATTTGCAGGTCTGGCAGAGCCCTCTCCCCCTCTCCAGCACGGCCCCCACTGCTGTTCCTGCAGAGAGAAAAGCCACATCCTGTGGGCAGTAATCCTATGTGGGTGGTGCCTGAGGCAGGGCCCCACAGCCTGTGGGAGTAGGGATGGGGTGACTGAGAGGCGGGGCGGAGAACAAGGGGAGAGGGGAGGCCCCAGGGCTCCTGGTAACCTGTCCCCACTTGCTCCCAGGTGAACATGACAACAGACTTGGAAGGGAGTGACATGTTGGTGGAGAAGGCCGACCGGCGGGAGTTCATTGACCTGTTAAAGAAGATGCTGACCATAGATGCGGACAAGAGGGTCACGCCGATCGAGACCCTGAACCACCCCTTTGTCACCATGACCCACCTGCTCGACTTCCCCCATAGTACACAGTAGGTGTCCACTTGGTGCTTTCTGCCAGGGGGTGGCACGCTCGTTCTTAAAGGCCCAGACAGTAAATATTTCAGGCCTTGCAGCCATACCGTCTCTGCCACAAAGACTCAACTCTGCGGTTGTAGCTGAAAGCAGCCATAGACAATATGTAAACAAGAGGGAGGCTGCATTCCAGTAAACCTCGATGTATAAAAGCAAGTGGCAGGCTTGCTTTATTTGGACCCTGGGCCACAGCTTGCCGACCCTGCTTTATACACAGAAGAGGGAACAGGGGAGCGCAGGCTGGATGAACTGGATTCTGGGTATTCGTACGTGAAGGGAGGCGCCCAGTACAGCAGTGAATGCAAAGCGAAGCCATGTTCCACGCCAAATGTTCCCAGAACCATTCTGGGGCAGACTCAGCTGGTTTGGATTTGGGCTTGTTCATTCATTCATTCAGCACGCCGTGTACTGCCAGGTGCGGGGCACAGTGGTGAGCCAGAGGGTCAGGCCCTGCCTGTGGGAGCTTACAGTCTGAGGCAATGTGGTTTAGTGGTAGAATCTCGCCTTCCATGTGGGAGAGCTTGGTTCAGCTCCCAGCCAATGCACCTCACGTGCAGCCGCCACCCGTCTGTCAGTGGAGGTTTGCGTGTTGCTGTGATGCTGAACAGATTTCAGCAGAGCTTCTGGACTAAGACAGACTAGGAAGAAAGGCCTGCACTCTACTTCTGAAAATCAGCCAGTGAAGACCCTGTGGATCACACCAGTCTGATCTGTAGCCAATCATAGGGATGGCGAAGGATAGTGTTTCCTCCTGCTATGCATAGGATCCCCATGAGTCAGGGTCCAACTCCATGACAGCTAAAAACCCAAGTAACTAGGCCAGTATCAGGAAAAACACAAGGTGCAATTAAAGTCACTTTTTTTGGCCCAAAATACAGCATACTTGTAGTATGCAAAAATAGTATCATTTGTAATCTTAAAATAGCAGAGAACCATTATTTTATCTACGTTCAGTTACGTGTTTTTACGCAAATAACATGCGTGTCATACGTTTTTTGCCAACCACAGCCTCCCTGCCCCCAGGTATTTTCATAACAGCACTATGCTAATTTTTTGCAGCAACATGTAAAAAAATTAGCATAATATGCTTACAAAAATGGGGGGGCAGTTGGCAAAAAATGTATAGCGTGCGTTATTTGCATAAGAATACGGTATTACGTTACTTATTAAAACAGACATTTTAAATTGAAAATCAAATGTGGTTTGATTATTTCAATATTTGCATTGGAGGAAAAGTATGTTTAATTAGAAGAAGACAGAGAACTGCGGGGAAGCAGTGTATAAACTCTGAAGGGCCGTTTATGATGGTTTCCAAGCGCGTGAGTGGTTGAGACCACTTGTGGGGCTTTCCTTTTCCTCAGTGCTGGAGTCAGCACCACTGGTATACTTTATTCTCCTGGCTAGGGTTTTGTCTTGATTCATAAGTGCAGTGGGGGTAGAAAAAGAGGAGGAGAATTTTTATTTCAGGTAACTGGGAAAGAATTAAAAAAAAAAAAAAGAGGAGGAAAGAGATCCAAGAAGATGTGTATGTAGATGGGAAGATTGCCAGGTATTAGTTCTTGGCCTTGGCAGATTATCCTCTCTAAGCTTCCTCCTTAAAGGAGCCCTGGTGGCACAGTGTTTAAGCGCTCAGCTGCTAACTGTAAGGTCATTGGTTTGAACTCACCCAGCAGCAGGTCCTCAGGAGAAAGGCCTGGTGATCTGCTCCCATAAAGATTACAGCCTAGGAAACCCTATGGGCAGTTCTGCTCTGTCACATGGGGTCACTATGACTCCACTCCATGGCATCCAACAACAACGAGCTTCCTCCTTACTGGGAAAATAAGGACCATGATAGTATCTCCCCCTAGTGGTGGTTGTAGGCTTGTAAATGCCGTAGCACACAGTGGATGTTAGCTGGTGTTAATTGTGATGTTGATTTTGCTTTCACTGTTGGATTGTGACGTAGGAGACCCCATGTGTTACAGAGCAGCACTCCACCATAGGGTTTTCTTGGCTGTAAGCTTTAGGGAAGCGGATCGCTAGGTCTGTCTCTTCCACGGTGCCGCTAAGTGGGTTCGAACCACGAGCTTCTGATTAACGGCCAAGTGCAAACCATTTGCGCCACCCAGGAACCTTCATTAGTGATGACGATGATCATTATTGTTTGCATTACATGCATATTTCCAGTGGGGAGGAGGAGCAGCACTGCAGCCCTGATACTGGGTTGGAGAGTTCCTGGTTGTCCCCGAGGTGGTGCCGGGGGGCGGAGGGGTGAAAGCAGGTTGGAAGTTGCTGTTTTATATGTAAGTCAAAGGTTCCCAATCAGAGAACTTACACTTCTGTTTATGGACCAGAAACCACGTGGAAAGTGGACAGTGAGCGGTGGGGCTGTCAGTGGGTCAGTGACGGAGGAAAGGGCAGAGAACAAGTGTGTTGGATATGGGAGCTTTACCTTCCAGGATGGGGGGAGGGGTGGGGGACAATGGGGGCAGCTCATCCCAACAATGTCGACCACTGCAAACATACAGACTTGGCACCGAAATCCAGGGAAGTCAGACGTAAAGTTAATTTCCCCAGTTGTCTTAACAGTTCTCTCCTTTCCTCTCTCTGTTTCCTCCTCTTTATCCTACCTTACCCTCTTCTCTTTCCTTATGCCTCTGTCTCTCTCTGCCTTTTGCACAAACAGCGTCAAATCCTGTTTCCAGAACATGGAGATTTGCAAGCGTCGGGTGAATATGTACGACACGGTGAACCAGAGCAAAACCCCTTTCATCACGCATGTGGCCCCCAGCACGTCCACCAACCTGACCATGACCTTTAACAACCAGCTGAACACCGTCCCCAACCAGGTGAGCAGGGGGCAGAAGGGACAGGGTCCAAGTGCCGAGGACAGGGAGGGGCAGGCGGTTACACAGTGTGAGGGCAGGGGTTCTGCGCCCAGCAGACCTTGTTCGGAGGCGGGGCTCCTCCAGTATCGTATTCTACCTTTCGAGGGATTTCCTCTCAGGGACAGAGGTGCTCAGCCTTGGCTGTTGGCCCCATTGAAGGCCCCAGAAAGGACTTGCTAAGGCAGTGATTGTGAGTTGGTGCCTCTTTCCTGCTTTCCTCTGGCGCAGTATGGGGATAAGGTAAAGGAGGTGCTGTGACCCTTTTGTGTCTGACATCTGCCCAGTGGAGAATTCTAGAACTGGAAAGGCCTCTGGAGAGCAGAGCTCTTGGTGAAGCCCTTCCCATCATCCCAACACTGCTGAGTCCTCAAGGCCCCCTTTGAGGACAGATAAACTGTCTCTTCTTCAAGTCATGGGGACAGCCAGTTAATTCATCAGCCCACCACCAGAATGCCAGGAGCTGGAACTGAAAGGGGCCAGGGAACTAGGAGCTTCTTCCCATGGAATCGAGCACCTAACGCGATGCTTGGAATATGGGTGACACCAGGAAGTATCTAATGGATGGATAATCACCAAGCCTTAGGCAGACCACCTCCAGTGTCCGAGAGACCTCCGTCTCAGTGGTTCCCAATCCAGAGGCCTAGACCTTTTTTTCTCTTAATCTCAATCTGTAATGACAACACCTTTTGTAAGGATACAGGATACTCCTAGGTATCCTTTAAACATATACCACACACACTCACATACACTCACACACATACACATACTCATACACACGCTCAGATACACTTTCACACACACACACACTCACACACACACCAGAAAACCAAACCCATTTCTGTCGAGTCAATTCCAACTCATAGCGACCGTATAACAGAATAGAACTGCCCCGTAGGGTCTCCAAGGCTGTAATCTTTATGGAAGCAGACTGCCACATCTTTCTCCCATGGAGCGGCTGATGGGTTCCAACCTTTCAGTTAGCAGCCGAGTGCTTAACCAGTGCACCACCAGGGCTCCTGCCACATACACATACATGCAGATACCACATACACATTCGCATACAGACGAACTCACACACATACACACAAATTACACAATCACATACACACATACACATTCACATAGGCGCACCTCAGATACACACACACGTAGACATACCACATCCATTTACCTACACACACACACACTCACACACACTACTCCAGAGGGGTACGTCTGCTGTAAACCTGGAGCACAACCCTTTGCCCAGCCTGGGCCACTCTCTCGGACAGGCTCGCTGTGAGGAAGAGTCTCTGGCCCCTGCTTTCAGCGGCCCTCTGCCTCATTTTCCAGGCCTTTCCTCAGCCGCTGGGTCGCTCAGGCCTGGCCTCACCTCCTGGCCTCCGTGGCCCCTTCGGCCTGTACTCTAGGAGAGGCCCCTGGAGTCTGCTGCCCCTTGCAGGCGGTTCACCTTGACTGCGCTCTCCTTAGGCTAGAGCACTAATGCTCTCTAATGCTTGCAGTTTCAAGAGACAGGCATTCCTGTCCAGCCCCCAGCCAGCCCTGCGGCACCCACAGCCAGACATGTAAGTGTCCGAGTGCTTCTGTCCCTCGTCACCTCTTTAAAGAGGCAAGCTTTTCCATTGGACCTTGTGAGACACCCAGTCTCAACTCCCACAGCCCCAAACTGCCACCACCATCTGCCATCTGCCTGCCCCGTCCAACATGAAGAGATTGAGGGAATGACGGACGGGCACAGACCCAGACGCAGACCCTGGGTCTCATCGAGTCTCCCCACCCGACCGTACTTGCCATGGGTGTCTCCCTGCGAGGCTGGAGCATTAGGGTCCCTGACCACACCAGGAGAGGCCCCTACATACTGCCCTTGAGGTGACAGCCATCACATCCATTCCCAAGAGTGTCTCAAAGACCTCAAAACTGAGGGGCCTCCCAGCGTAGAGGCTGGCAGCCGTCGTCGAATAAGGAGACCCTGCTCTCCAGAATACGGATACCATCTGCATTTGTCAAGTTCTCCAGAGACCCAGAACCAATAGGAGTCAGATATGGATGTAGATAGACAGAGAGAGAAACCAAACCCATTTCCATCGAGTTGATTCCAACTCATAGCGACCCTAAAGGACAGAGTAGAACAGCCCCATAAGGTTTCCAAGGAGCAGCTGGTGGATTCGAACTGCTGACTCTTTTGTTAGCAGCTGAGCTCTTCACCACTGCACCACCAGGGCTCCAGATAGATAGATCTATATATAGCAAGGGAGTTGGTGGGGAGAGATTTATTTTAAGTAATTGGCTCACGGAATTGTGGAGACTGGCAAGTCCGAAATCTGTAGGGCAGGCGGCAGGCTGGAAACTCAGGCAAGGTTTCTGTGTCACAGTCTTGAGGCCGAATTTCTTCTCCTGGAAATGTCAGGTTTTGCTCTTAAGGCCCTCAACTAACTGGATGAGGCTCACCCAAGTCATAGAGGGCAATCTGCTTTACTGAAGGTCAGGGGGTTGTGAATGTTAATCACGGTAGATACCTCCACAGTGACGCTGGACCAGTGTTTAACCTGACCCCTGGGCGCCCCGGCCCCAGACAATCCCGTGTCTCGTGTGGCTGCAGGTGCCTGTTTTTTCCCGAGGCTTTTCAATTGTATTTCCACTCCCCTCTGTTTTTACTTCTTGGCTCTTGGTTTTTGTTTGTTGGTTTGTTCGTTTGTTCTTCTTTCAGTTCATTTATTTGATTTAGACTCGTGTCTCCCAACACACCACTTCCCTCATTTTTTATTTGTGTTTATTTTTGTTTAATTCCCGTCATTCCTTCAGGCTCCCACCTCCACCAGTGCCACTCTTTCCTTAGCCAATCCCGAAGTCTCCATACTAAACTACCAATCTGCACTCTACCAGCCCTCCGCGGCGTCCATGGCTGCAGTGGCCCAGCGCAGCATGCCCTTGCAGACGGGGGCAGCCCAGATTTGTGCCCGGCCCGACCCCTTCCAGCAAGCTCTCATCGTGTGTCCCCCTGGCTTCCAAGGTAAGGAAGAGCAGACGCAGCCAAGACAACCTCCAGGGCCCCAGCCCCACAGCAGTCAGCCGCGCTGACTTTCCTCCAGTGAGAGTGTTGGTGTAACAGAACCTGAGGGCTCCTGTGGTGCTGTGACCAACCCAGAAACAACAGGACTTGTGCTTTAGCTCCAAATAGATTCTTGTTACCCTCACCACTGGCTGGGGATTTTGTCCCTGGTCGACCGTCTGTAAACGGGCTGCCTCAGTTATCTAGTGCTGCTGTAACAGAAATACCTCAAGTGGGTGGCTTTAACAAGAAGAAATTTATTTTTTCCCTGTTTGGGAGGCTAGAAGTCCAAATGCAGGGCATCAGCCCTGGAGGAAGGTCCTTGTCTCTTCTGAGCTTCTGCTTCTGGGTGATCTTCCCCCATCTCTGCTTCCAACTTAATCTCTTTTATATCTCAAAAGAGATTGACTCAAGATACACCCTACACTAATCCTGTCTAGTAGCATAACGAAGACATCCCGTTCTCAAATGGGATTATAACCAGAGGCATAGAGATTAGGATTTACAACACGTATTTTGGGGGGATGCATTTCAATCCATAACACAGGCGGAGTGAGGGGAGGTTAGAGTGCGCAAGTCCAAGGGGGTGCCAGATGAGGCCAGGCGAATCACACGGCCCAAACTTTGAGATTCCCCTGGGCGCTCAATACCCTGGCTTCAGCCTTTGCCCATTGTTTTTCTCCATTTTACGCTGATGTCAGCTCCTGAATGTCTTCCTGTGAGGCGTCCTCAGTGTGGATTATCTATGAAAAGGGTCAATCTCTGACAGCCAATGTAGCCCCACTCCCCTGAAGAATATAAACCAGGTTCAAAAGTAACCTCCCAGAGCCCACACCGCCAATGACTCTTGGCCACCCACCTGCCCAGCACTCCTCTCCTGTAGACTCCAAACACCCATGTGCTCAGTTCTAATTTACCCATAAGTCTCTAGAATGTTCTGGGGGCCTGGCAAGTCCAAAATCTGTGGGAAGACAGGAAGAGTGAGGTGGGCGTGCTGCCAGAATGTCCATTTATCATCTGGAGGCAGAGCACTCCGTAGGGAAACTCCCGTTTGGCTCTTAAGGCCTCCAGTTGGTTGATGGAGGCCCACCCACATTATGGAAGGTTGTCTGCTGTACCTACGGCCAACTGATTCAATCACGTGTAACAACTCCATAACAACAACTAGACTGGTGTTTTGGCCAGACAACCGGGTGCCATGGCCCATTCAAGTTGACACATAAAATTAGTCATCACTAGTGTATGTTTACAAACCCCATGGTGTACACATGTCTGTGATTGCTCAGTTTCAGAGTCAAGGCAATTCCAAATAGATTCGTCCATTCTCTGCCCCCTCGCCCGACCTCAACATTGACATACACGAGGACAGAGCTTGTTTTCCTGTTCTGACTTTTCGTCATGACTGCTCCCCTGTTGCCTTTGCAGGTGACTTAATTGGACCTTCTAGCCCTTGAAAACAGTCATTTCAAGGTTTATTATTATTATTAATTTAAGTTTGAAACTAAGGGGAAACTTCCAAAGGACCTGAAATACACAGTCGTTGAGTGGAGGGACCGGCACCAAGGGTGGTTGAGAGATGGCGCAGCCTGCTGGAAGGTTCTCTTGGTCCATCTGTGTCCGATCACTTAGCTGTGCCCTCTCGCCCTTGCCCACTGCCCGTAGGGTTGCAGGCCTCTCCCTCAAAGCATGCTGGCTACTCAGTGCGAATGGAGAACGCCGTGCCTATTGTCACCCAAGCCCCAGGAGCTCAGCCTCTTCAGATCCAGCCAGGTCTGCTTGCCCAGGTAATTCTGTCCCCTTTATTATTACCGGTATCACTGTTACCCATGTTCATGCTGTTCATAAAAGAGACATTTCTCCGCCAGCTCCCTCCCTGGTAATGAATTAGGTGCCTTGAGTCATTGGAATATGTTGGTAATATTCTAAATGGTCCCCAGGTGAATTACCCTCTGAAGTACCCCGCTTACTATTCCAAGAAGTTTAGACGCAAGGAGAGTCTGGGGAAATTACTACTATTGTGATATCTTTATAACACACATTAATCTGGGGGACCTCGGTTTTAATCCTGACTCCCCCAGTAACTGTCTGCAACCTAAGGCAAGTCAGTTAACATTTCTTTCCTTCAAATTCCTTTTTTGTAAAACAGAAGTGATTTTTTTAGAGCCAAAAGGAGCCTTAGCAATTATCTCCTCATTGTATAGCTGAAGAAACAGGCTGACTGAGGCCGAAGCTGGAACCTCCCTTACTATCCACATGGGTGCTGACGGTAGATTGAGATCACAGAGGTGAAATTGGGTGGAAACTTATAATGTGTTCTGGAAATGTGAGGTAACAGTCCTGAGGCAGTGATAGTAGTAATAAATTGTTCATGACGCCTGAACTCTAGTAACAATTAACATAATCCAGCATGCGGCTCACTTCACAGCTATTCGTTGATTGAATCCCCACAACAACCCAGCAGAGCATTTGTCTGTATTTGACAAATAATGGGGAAACCGAGGTACAGTGGCTTACTCAAAGTCACACAACTGTTAGAGACAGAACCAGGATACAAACTCAAAGTCTGACTCCAGCCGCTGTATCTTAACCACCTGCTGTCCTACCTTCGTGTGATCATTGCTGTTGTGGGGGTCAAGGACAGCTTGGCCTATACATTATTAGTTTTTAAAAAAAAAAAAAAAACCATTGCCTTCAGTCAATTCTGACTCCTAGTGACCCTATAGGACAGAGTAGCACTGCCCCATAGAGCTTCCAAGGAGCGGCTGGTGGATTCAAACTGCCAACTTTTTGGTTAGCAGCATTACACTTAACCACGGCGCCACCAGGGTTTTTAGTTGATTAGTTTAGAACCACTTTTATTTTTAAATAAAGTAGGTTTGCAAAGGCTTTTGCCAGGGTGTCCCCGAAGACAGTTTATTTATAGACACTGGTTGAATAGACGTTTTTTGGCGGGGGGTGGGGGGGTTGGTTGGTTTGTTTCAATATAGTCCAGCTGCACTGGTCTGTTCTGGGATCTCTGTCCTCTTCCACTGGCCTCTCTAATGTCCTGTTGTCTTAATTAGTACAGGTTTAATGCCGGACTCGGTATCCGCTCGGGAAAGCTCTGTGTTCGTATCGTTCTTCAGAGTGTCCTCATCCATTGTTGGCCCTTCACTTTTCTGTTTGAATCGTAACATCACTTTTCCGTAAGGATTTTAATTCCTTTTAAAAAACAAACGAAACAAAACAAAAACCTACTTTTCCACTGGACTTGAATTTGTATTTACTTTAGAAACAATTGGCCCCTTTATAATATTAAAGTCGTTTTCATCCATGAACCTGCTATAATTCTATGTGTTACATTTCATTACTGCTAGTAAAGTTTTCTTTTATTGGAATAATTCTGAAGTATTTTACAATATTTGTTGCTATTGAAAATTTTATTAAGTTACATTTTCTGATTGCTCGCTTATAAGAATATCACCGATTTTTGGTGCACTGAGTTTGTTATCTAGCAATCCTTTTAAATTCTCCTTAGTCCTGACAGTTTCTGTGAATTCCCTTGAATTTTCTAGGTAGATAGTCTTCTTATTTGCAAATGAATAGTTTTGACTCTTTCCGGTCCTGGTATGTTTTATTTATTGTGCTTCCGTCACTGTGCCAGTAACAGCGGTGATGTTGGCATCCGTAGCTTTTGCCTCAGCGTTTAAGGAAATGCTTCTAGCCGTTTACTCATAGGTGTTTGCTTTACATTCGTATTCATAGAGCGCTTCATCAAGTCTGATGAGTTTTACTGAATGAATACTGAATTTTATCAAATGTTTTTCAGCATCTGTTGGAATACTCAGGTGTTTTTGTCTCTTTAATGTGGCAAATTACATTAATAAATTATCTAGTGTTGAATTATCCTTGCATTTCTGAGATAAACCTTATTTGGTCGTGTTGGGTTTGATGTGTTTATATGCTTTTTAGTACTGGATTCAGTTTGTAAATACTATAGCTAGTATTTCTGCATCTGTGTTTATAAGTGAGAAATAGCTTATAATAAACTTTTCCTATAGAGTCCTTATCTGATTTCAGTATTGTTATGGATTAAATTGTGTCCCCAAAAACATGTTGAATTCCTGGCCCCTGTACCTGTGGATATGATCCTGTTCAGAACGAGGGTTTTTCTTTTGTTATTATGTTAAGGAGGTCACACCAGGATAGGTTGGATCCTGAATCGAATCACTTCTGAGTTATAAAAAGAGCCTACTAGACAAAGAGACACACAGCGGGGGCGGTGCCAAGGCGCAGACGCCAAGGATCCCCGGCAGGTACCAGAAACTAAGAGGGGCTTACAGCAGGAATAGACGCAGCTGCGACCTATGAGAAAGTAAATTTCTGTTCTTTAAAGCCACCCACGTGTGGTATTTCTGTTGTGGCGGCTCTAGGTGATAAGGAAGGTACCCAGGTGACACCAGTCTCAGAAACCCTGTTAGATAGCATTGCCCATCCTCAGTCTTCTGGGTCAGCTTGCTGAAGACTGATAGATACCAGTCTTTGTGTCTTTGTTCGTAAGTCCAAATTGACAGTGTGCAAGTGCTTGCTCACACCCTCTGTGGGCGGGCACAACATTTGTCCTCTTGCAAGTTTGTAAACAGAGAACCGTCTATATTGGAAGCAGGCTTTCTGCGCCTTCCTCTCTCTCTGAGTCCTCGTCGCTTCCTTTTGTTTGCACAGCCTGGTAGCAGGGAGTTCAGAAAAGAGCAAGACCAACCAAGAGAAAGGACAACAGCTCAGTCCAGGGTAGAGGAGCTTGTTAGTCCTTCCTTTATCCAAGGGGCAAAAGTTCTAGCCAAGGTCTTTAGAATTCACGTGGACTCTACAGGATAATTGTAGACCCTTTTTTGTGTTTGCACATTTAACACTAGCGGGCCAAGAACTATCTCTGAAAAAATAATAATTAGCACCTCTTATCAGCGAACAGAGCCCCGCTGGCACAGTGGTTAAGCACTCGGCTACTAATCAAAAGGTCGGTGGTTTGAACCCACCAGCCACTCCACGGGAGAAAGATGTGGCGGTCTGCTTCTGTAAAGATGACAGCCTTGGAAACCCTGTGTGGCAGTTCTACCCTGTCCTACAGGGTCGCTATGAGTCAGAATTGACCCCACAGCAACGGGTTTAGTTTTTTGGGGGGGATTTATTAGCTAAAATGGAGTCCCTGGGTGGTGTAAACAGTTAAGTGCTCAGCTGCTAACTGAAAAGTTGGCAGTTTGAGTTCACCCAGAGGCCATTTGGAAGAAAGGCCTGGTGATTGACTTCCAAAAACTCAGCCATGGAAAACCCTGTGGGGCACAGTTCTAGTCTGACACACATGGGGGCCCCATGAGTCAGAACTGGCAACTGGTTTATTAGCTACAATGGACATTCTTCCTTGTTCAGTTAGGTGGAAACCAGTAGGCTCAGCATGTCTGAATCCATCTCTCTCGGTCTCGTAATCACAGCAGGGAGAGCTCTGCCTTCTGCTAATAACCTGAAAAAAGAGTCCCTGTAGTGTTATAAATCTCCAAGTGGATTTAACCTAAAGCTGTAATTGAGAAAGCGAACAACAAAATACATGAGCAAGGATTTTAATTGCTGCAGTTTTCATAATGGGGAACTACTGGCAGCCATTTGAACCCTCATCAGTAGGGGACTCGTTCAATAAATTGCTGTACACATAAAGTGGAACACCACATAGCCATTAAAAAGGACAAGGTAGCCCTATGTGTCTTGACATGCACAGATAGCCGAGATACATTAAGTGAACAGCGCCCTGCCTACCCAGGGTCACGCTGGGTCTTTTTGTTTATTGGTCGCTTTTTCTTTTTCTCTCCACTTGTCACTGAGGCCATGCCAGTGTGTTAGCTGCTTAAGATGGGGCTCTCCCTTATATAGCTTAGATGGTCCTTTCAATGGACAAAAATGATTAACTTATAAAACTAGTATGATGGCTATTTGAAAAACACAGTAATTGAACCTTTAAGCAGAAGCCTTCAAATGAAGGCATAAGCTTCTAGGTGTAGGGTAGAGACATTCCATATACTATTACTTGCTTCCTTCACGCATCTGTCAGTTTATCGTACTGTGGGGGCTTGCGTGTTGTCGTGATGCTGGAAGCTATGCCACCGGTATTCAAATACCAGCAGGATCACCCATGGCGACAGGTTTCAGCTGAGCTTCCAGACTAAGACAGACTAGGAAGAAGGACCTGGCGGTCTACTTCTGAAAAGAATTAACCAGTGAAAACCTTATGAATAGCAGCAGAACATTGTCTGATATAGTGCCGGAAGATGAGACCCTCAGGTTGGAAGGCACTCAAAGTACTACTGGGGAAGAGCTGTGTCCTCAAAGTAGAGTTGACCTTAATGATGTGGATGGAGTCAAGCTTTCGGGACTCAGAATGAGAAGAAACAGCTCAAACATCCATTATTAATCAGAACATGGAATGTACAAAGTATGAATGTAGGAAAATTGAAAATAGTCAAAAATGAAATGGAACACATAAAGATCGATATCCTAGGCATTAGTGAGCTGAAACGGACTGGTATTGGTCATTTTGAATCGGACAATCATATGGTCTCCTATGCCGGGAATGACAACTTGAAGACGTAGGGCGTCACATTCTTCATCAAAAAGAACATTTCAAGATCTATCCTGAAGTACAGCGCTGTGAGTGATAGGATAATATCCATATGCCTACAAGGAAGGCCAGTTAATACGAATGTTATTCAGATTTACGCACCAAATGCTAAGCCCAAAGATGAAGAAATTTAAGATTTTTACCAACTTCGGCAGTCTGAAATTGATCAAACATGGAATCAAGATGCATTGATAATTACTGGTGATTGGAATGCAAAAGTTGGAAACAAAGAAGAAGGATCAGTAGTTGGAAAATATGGCCTTGGTGATAGAAACGATGCTGGAGATTGCACGGTTGAATTTTGCAAGACCAACGACTTCTTCATTGCAAATACCGTTTATCACCAACATAAACGGTGACTGTACGCATGGACCTCGCCAGATGGAATACATAGGAATCAAATCAACTACATTTGTGGAAAGAGACGATGGAAAAGCTCAATATCATCAGTCAGAACAAGGCCAGGGGCCAACTGCAGAGCAGACCGTCAGTTACTCATATGCAAGTTCAAGTTGAAACTGAAAAAAATTAGAACAAGTCCATGAGAGCCAAAGTAGGACCTTGAGTATATCCCACCTGAATTTAGAGACCATCTCAAGAAGAGATTTAACATGTTGAACACTAATGACCGAAGACCAGACAAGTTGTGGAATGACACCAAGGACATCATACATGAAGAAAGCAAGAGTCATTAAAAAGACAGGAGAGAAAGAGAAGACCTAAATGGATGTCAGAAGAGATTCTGAAACTTGCTTTTAAACGTCGAGTAGCTAAAGCAAAAGGAAAAATGGTGAAGTAAAAGAGCTGAACAGAAGATTTCAAAGGGTGCCTCGATAAGACAAAGTAAAGTATTATAATGATATATGCAAAGACCTGAAGATAGAAAACCAAAAGGGAAGAACATGCTCAGCATTTCTCAAGCTGAAAGAACTGAATTAAAAATTCAAGCCTCAAACATTTACAGAAGAGCTTGTACCAGTACTACTCAAGCTATTTCAGAGCATAGAAGAGGAAGCAACACTTCCAAATTCATTCTATGAAGCCA